AGCCTAGCACAGCAATTAATATCTTGTGTTTTCTCCCTTTGTGCAGAACTGCCAGAGAAACAGGAGCAACTCTGTGCCATTTACAGTGTCCTGGAGAAGCTCCCACAAGCAAATCACAATACCTTGGAACGACTCATCTTCCATCTTGTCAAGTAATGACTTTAATTTCTTCATTTGTAGAGAAACTGTGATTCTGAATGCTGCTTGGAAACTTTCTAAAGTGTTAAACACCTTCAGTGTCAGTTTGGGGATTGTGCTGCTGGTTTGGAAATGAAAGAATTCAAACTGGTAGTTGTGCTCACAAACAGGTGTGTGGTTACTTCAACACCTGGTGTATTTGGATCAAACCAGGTAAGAACAACTTTGAGAACAAGGTAGATCTCAAAGCCTTGGTGAATCATCCAAGCACCAGGATTTAGACAGAGGGGCTTTGTAGTGAACTGAGGAGGAGCATAGGCAAGTCCCAGGAGCAGGGATAAATGGTGCTGGGAAAGGGCTGCACTTACCCAAGGAACCTGGGGACTTTCCAAGCAGCTCTCTGAACATGGGCAAAAGGGATTTTTGAAGAGAAGATGCTGAATCACCAGTACACTTTTGAGAAGCTACCAGACTAGCTTAACATGGGTGACTCCCTGATCCTTTGATACATGAAATGTTATCTACTTAGTAGGTATGAAATAATTGTAAAGCTTTTTTGGGCTGCTGTACATACTGAGTGTCCAAGAAGCCTCCTTGTGTTATTTGGGAACTCTGGCAAGGTGTGATCAGGGTGTTTGTATTCTAGCAAGGTTAAAATCTCTTTTCCTGGATGTTGGATTCCAGAGTGTCTTTGATAGAAGATGTGAACCGCATGTCCCCCAACGCCTTGGCCATCGTGTTTGCTCCGTGCCTCTTGCGCTGTCCCGATACCTCTGACCCCTTGACCAGCATGAAGGATGTCTCAAAAACAACCATGTAAGTTTTGGCAGCTGCTGAGAAGTAGTGTTTTGGAATGGGATGGAAGGTCAGCACCACTAGCTGTATTTGTTATACATATCAAGCTGAGAAGCTGAGGTTCAAGAGTTGTTGAATTTTAGCTCTGCCAGTGCTGCCAGTTCATACACCCCTCTCAAACCTTCCACATGTTTTACTAAGCATAAAGTAGGATGATCTATAAGTCTTTACTCTCAGGTTTGTGTTTTACATCAAGGTAATCTATTTTTTGTTGGCTTGTACCCTAATTATCTATTTTGCTGAGATACAAGGCATAATAAAAAATATGATATAGAATTAAGCTATCTCCTGAATACTTAGAACCCCTGATGATCTCTTCTGCATTGTTCTTTGAATTGAAGAAGGTTCTGTCCTTGACCCTCTCTGTTCTCCTCACCCTGCAGTAACTCTGGCTGTGAGAGCCCCTCACTATCCTCACTGGCCTTGCCTCTGCCTCTAATGGAAAGAGTTTCAAAAATGACAACTTTTTGTAACTTCTTACTGACCCTGGGGCCGTAGAGCTGGAGAAGGGCAGTTGCAGGCTCGTTGTGTCTCTGCCAGCCTGTGCCAGCACAGGGACAGCAGGTAGAAGCAGCAGGAGCTGTTGGCAGCTGTGGTAATGTCTGTGTGCTCACCACTGTGTACAGCCAGCATGGGAGGCTCTGGTGATCCCAGGAGGAACATGTGCCATTACCTGTCACCATTACCTGCCTGCTGTGCCTGCTGTGTTGGACTTTTCACCTGTTTCCATGCAGTGCTGCTGTGAGGGGTGGGCTGGGACACTGTGTGACACTCCAGCCACGTGTGTGTGACAAACACCCCCAGGCCAGGAGCAGCATCCCACCCCACCATGGCTGTTTCAGAACCTTCAGGGTATGAGGCAGCTCAGTAACACCTTGCCTTTCTCACAGGTGTGTAGAGATGCTCATAAAGGAGCAGATAAGGAAGTACAAGATAAAAATGGAAGAAATCAATCAGCTGGAAGCAGCAGAGAGCTTTGCTTTCCGACGGCTCTCGTTGCTTCGGCAGAACACGGTAAGTGTTGAAATAGAACTTCCAAAATAAATAAAAATTCCAAATAAAACTTCCACCAGCTTCTTGGGGAGGGAGTGCTACTTCTCCTGTCCATCCATTCAGTGATTCAAAAATCAGCTGGAAAAAAACAACTGCCCAAAGGTGTAGATAGGAGCTCATATTCAGCTGCACTGAAGCTCTGATACATGAAGGGTGCAGGGGTGGGAATCTCCTTTTGTACTGGTCAAAATCTATTCCCATGTAATTCTGTCAGTGGAACTAAGATTGAGTGTCTGATATGGCAAAAGAGTTCCTTCACTCCAGGGATGGCTGGGGTGCAAAAATATGCTGCATTCTAGGAGGGAAAATACTATTTGTTTTTGTTGTACTGATTAATACAAACCAAACTGTCTGATCAGAGGCTGCATATAGTGAATTTGGTCTCCATCTCTCCCTAGCTCTGGCCTATAAAACTTGGGTTCTCTTCCCCTTACGAGGGGAAGCTGGTATGTACAACTGCCTGGTTCCAGTGCATGGGGTTTTCTTGTGGTACTCTTGCATGACTAAAATACTTACACAGGTTGTAACTCAGTTTTAAACACTCTTGAACAATCAGGACTGCATGTACTGGTGCAACTTCGTCCCCAGACTGCATGCAGGGCTGCTGGGCTCTTCTGTCATCACCTGATATTTTATAAACACTGTGTGTAACTTACATTGGATGTAATAATATTACTCATTAAGTGACTACTAAAACTAAGCTGAGCCTCACAGCTCAAAAAAAGGTAACAAAATCCTGGATATCAGGTGAATAGGAAATTTTCTTACTTTTTGAAACATTTGTGTGGATAACTAACAGCTCTTCATCAATTCCATCAGCCTCTCCTTTGACCCACTCATTTGTCTTCCACTCTGAAACTTGCAGGCAGGTGTAGCCATTTGTGACTGACAAGTGTTAATGTGAATCTTTTTTGCAGAGTAAAAGTTCTCAGGTCAAAGGAAGTGACAGTGGCACCTCAGAGCTGGACTCTGTGCATGAAGAGGAGGATGTTTCTGAAGCCAACCGGGAGAAGGAGATTCTCATCGATCGCATACAGTCAATAAAAGAAGAAAAGTAAGTCCCCTTTTACCTGCTCAGGCCATGCCCTTTGCACTTGGTAACACAGGTAGTAAAGCAGGATGCCTTTTTGTCTAAAAGGATCTAACTCTGTTCTGTAAGACTTTGATAAGGGGGAAAAATGAAAATACAAAGCATTAACTGAGAGAACACCATGAGCGTTAATAGTTAATGGCTACATGCTTTACCTCTGAACACGAGCTGGGTGAAGGTGCTTGTGTCAGAGGTGCTGCAGCCTGTGTTTGGTGCAGGGAGGACATCACTTACCGCTTACCTGAGCTCGACCAGCGAGGCTCTGACGAGGAAAACGTGGACTCGGAGACCTCTGCGAGCACAGAGAGCCTGCTGGAGGACAAACCAGGCCGGGTGGATACCGAAGGTCAGTATTAAGGTAGTAAGTGCTTTTTTTTATTCTACATCTTTCATTGCATACAGCCAGGTGACCAAACATTATCTGGTCACAGTGGCTCGTATTGAGTTACATTTTAGGCCTGCTATCAGTCTCTAAGTATCTTCTTTCTTTAAAGCAATTATTGGATTAGACTGCTGCGCTCAGAGCTCCAGCGTGCCTGCCAAAGACATTTGCAAAGTGCCTTCTCTCCCGCAAACCTCTTCAGATTCTTACTCCGCACCCCTGGCTTCAAGGCGCAGATACTCCTTAACACTGTCCAAGATTAAAGTGCCCCGTCGAACTCCAGTGATGCCAACAGCAAACATAAAACTTCCTCCCGGGATGTTCAAATGTACAGAATCCCAGGACGAGGCTTTCTCTGAGGAAGAGTGTCAGAGGGTGCAGCGGAGGGAGCAGCCAGCCAGGCGGACTGACAGCATCCACTCGGTGTACATTGCACAAGGGTCTGCACTGGCCCACGCTCAGGAACTCGGGGATGAATACGAACCCACAGCAAAACTCAAGCGCAGGTTCTCGGACCCTTACTCTCACATTCCCTGTGTGGAGAAGTGAAATTCTTCCGTGCTCTGGACTCTTCTTGAAGTTGACCACAGCTTTGGCTTTAACCCTTTGAGGGCTGTGAGCTTGTTCATGGTCTTTTAAGGGGCTGCGGGGAAGGCAGCCCAGAAATGTACAGTACTGTAAGGGTTAAGCAAGGTTGTTTAAAGCAAATATTCTCCACTTTAAATTAAAACCTTGCAAAGAAGGTAAAGCATCATGTTGAATAACATGGATCAAGTGTACAGGAACCAAGCCCCCCCATTCCGCTGCTGTGCCTTTTCCATTTGCCTTGCAATGGATTCTCACGGGACCAACAGTCAGTTTAGGTCAATGTGTGTTGCCTTAATGTTTTGTATGATTTTATGACAATTTTCTCTATGGTTTACAGAGCCGTTAATGTGGTAATAGCCTTAATTGAGACCAACATGTATAAAAACGTTTATTAAAACATTGCACTTTTAAAAAATACATGTGGTAGTTGATCGATGTCTGTCTAACAAGTAATTTAGTCCGAAGGAAGCCTTTACTTGGGGTACTTTTTTTATTAAGTAGTGAATAAGGACGGGGGAAAGGGGAGCTCTGACGCTGCTGTGGTGTCACAGGGGAGGGTTTTGGTGCTCCTGGAGCAAAGGGGAGCTCCCATGCTGGGTGTGCTGTGCGAGCCGCCTCACCTCTGTTCGGGAACACACCTGAGGGCGAGCTGCCATCCCACAGCAGCGCCTTGAGCCCACGGCCATGCCCCGGCCCCTCACGGCCTGCACCATGTTGGAGTGAGGGAAGAGCTCAGCTCGGCCACAGCGCTGCCCCGAGCCGCAGCTGCCTCTGTGTCCGTGTGCACGCCTTGGGTGTGGGGTGATTTGGGGGAGGTTTTGGGGTTTTTTAAATAAACCGGGGCGGTCACGGCCCGCCCGGCGCTTCCCGCCCCTCCCCGCGCTCCGCCCCAAGATGGCGCCCGGCGCTGAGGGGAGTTCCGGTGCCACCATGGCGGCGACGCGGCTGGAGCTGAACTTGATGCGGCTCCTGAGCCGGTGCGAGGCGCTGGCGGCGGAGCGGCGGGACCCCGAGGAGTGGCGGCTGGAGAAGGTGAGGCCGCCGTGCCCTCCTGCCCCTCTGCCCCGCAGCACCGCGTCCGGCCCCTCAGTAACCGAGACGGGAGCGCTGTGGTGTTACACCCACAGCCTTTGCCAGACAGGGGATTTTTCCTTAATGCTGTCATTTAAAATCTTGTTTTTGCCCTCAGTATGTGGCTGCTCTGGAGGACATGCTCCGGGAGCTGAAGAAGCAGTCCAGGTGAGCGCCCTGAGCCCCTGGGTGCCTGTTGTGGGTTTGTGCCAGGGGGAGGTTTAGGTTGGATACCAGGAAAATTTCCTTCAGTGAAAGTGGTTAAACACTGGAAAAAGCTGCCCAGGGAAGTGATGGAGTCACCATCCCTGGAAGTATTGAAAAAGAGAGCAGATGTGGCACTTTGCAGTATGGTTTAGTGGGAATGGGGGGATTCAGTCGAAGGTTGGATCTGGTGATCTTGGAGGTCTTTTCCAACATTAATGATACTGTGAATCAATAATCTCTTACCTGTAAATCAGCCATAGCCCACAAACACTACAGCAGTGTGTCTTCCCTGTGGAAATACATATTCCTTGAGCCTTCCCTGCCTTGGAAAAGGTGATTTGCAGAGGATTTACAAATGAATTCCCGACCTGAGGCTATTTCTGCTTCTTTGAAAAACCATGTGGGTTTTTTTTATTATTTCACTTGGAAAATAGAACGCTAGAAAATGCTGATAACTTTTGATTTTGATATTGTTATCTTTCAATTCCAACAGCAAGCCAGCCCCTGAACTGTTGAATGAATACTCTCGCAAAGTGGACTTCCTAAAGGGACTCCTAGAAGCTGAAAAATTGGTAAGATTTACTAGTTCAGCTTGAAAAGAGACATCGATAGAGGATAAAGGGGCTGACTCTTAGCAGGGGTTAATCCAATTTGGGAGCTCCGACACTTCAGGGGGCTCCTGCTGACAGCCCCGGGAGAGGTGCCAAGGTTACATTTAAAGGGAGGTGGAAACATAAATTAGATAACATTTACTGACCAATAAGATAAATTAAGGTATGGATGCTAGGAAATGGATACTTAGGAGGAACACTTGGGGGTTGACCCCTGGCCTCTGGCTGATCACTCCATGTCCTGGACTGAAAGTTCTAGATAGAGAGGATGGGGATGCTGAGTGACTGACAGAGAGCCAGGGTGGGGATCTGGGGATGATCTCAGCAAAGGAAAGGGATTACACAGGTAGAGGGAGGGGGTACAATCTGGGGTAAACCATTTGGTAAAAATACGGGGATACAAAAACAAAACTATTACAAAGTATAAAAACACACTACAGCAGGGAAGCAGCTATGGGATACAAAAACAAAACTAATTAGGGAGGGGGATACAAACCCAAAGCTAATTACAAAATATTACAAAGTATAAAAACACACTACAACGGGGAAGCTGCTGTGGGATTGCGCCCCCATGCCTGTGGGTCACACCCCAGCTACCTCACACTGCACAGTGTCATTTCCATGACTGCTTTTTCCCACTGCCAGTCTTCATCCACAGAAAAGGCTCTGGCCAACCAGTTCCTGGCCCCGGGGCGCACCCCGACGACAGCCAAGGAGAGAACCCCGGCCACCAAAACCGTGCACCTGCAGACCAAGGCACGCTGCACGGGCCAGATGAGGAGCGAGCTGCTCGGCACAGTATGTTCACTGCTTCTTTACAGATTGTCTTGCTTGTGTTCAGCTGCCTCACAAGTGTCCCAGGCTGGGTGGGGAGGCACCTCTTTATCTCTAAATCCTGGGCACAGGCACTCTGCCAGGCCTGTCCTTTATCACTGACCCTTTGTAATTTGCTGTTTTGGTTCTCTTTCTCCTCCCCCAGGACCCCCTGGCTGCTGATGGTAAGTTCAATCTGTTGGTTCCTCCAACTGTGTATTACAGAGAGGGGAAGAGGGAGGTCAGGTATTCAATATTTCCCAAAGTCTGCTTTTAATTTAGTGCCTCACTTCTTTTCAAGACAACAGATTTTAAAAACAAAACCCCTGACAGATGAAAGCAGAAGCGTTGTTATCAATGGTGGCAGGGACTTTCAGGAAGCTCTTTTTGTAGCATTCATGCAGAAACAGACATTCTAATTACAGAATTAGCAGGGGCAATTTATTTTGTGCCTGTTCCCTTCTGCTCTGAGCAAGCCATGTGATCCTGGGTGCTTTGAGTAGGTGTTGTTCAGTTCCTCTGGAATACACAGCCATGTTATTCACGTAGGGAACTGGGAGGAATTAATTTGAGGTTTCCATGGCTACTGTTAGAGCGGCTGGAGCTGGGCCAATCTAACGTGTCCTGAAAGAACACCGAGACACACGGGCTGAAACCCTGCCCTCAGGGATGTGATTCAGCTGGGGTTTTTCCCCTCTTTTGATGTTCTGTGTCCTCTTTTCCCTGCAGAAAGCAGCTAGGCATTTGACACCCATATTCCTTGGGGTAGAGGCTAAGTAGGATTTGGATATCCAAAAATCCCTTAGAGGAGACTTGTTTTTTCAGCCTGAGATTGCATGAGAATTTATAATATGCTAAGCACTTTTTTTTTATTTTCCCAGATTCTGAGGAGTTGAACATAAGGAGGCGAAAGTAAGTCAGAATTTCTCATTCCAGTGCTCAATGTTTTGGGAACTGTTTTCCCAATGACCTTTAAATCCCTGATTTGCTTTAAATTGGGTAAAGTGTCTGCTTATAGAGACCAAAATACAATGGCTTCAGTTGACTCAATGGGCTTTGTTGTCTTGTAAAGATGTAAAACCTGGGGAAAACCTGTGAGATCAACCCACAAGGAAATGTAAATCCCTTTTTTTCCCTTGTGCTCTTGCAGAGGCCTCACATCAGACGAGAAGCAGTCAGCAGTGGAGCTGGACGCTGTGCTGCAGCACCACCAGGACATGCAGGAGAAGCTGGCTGAGGAAATGCTCAGCTTGGCTCGCAGCCTCAAAAACAACACCCTGGCTGCCCAGAACGTGATCAAACAGGACAACCAGGTAGTGCACGTTGAGCTGTGGCCCCTCAAGTTTTGCAACCCACAAGGTTCAAGTGCTGATGTGTGAAATCCTGCAGCTTGATTCTGGGTTGGATTGGAGTGGGGGCAACACCTGCCTGCAGCTGAACCTTTTCTCTGTTGGGGGAAGCTGTCAGAGCTGGCAGCTGTGAGGCTGACCCTGTTTGCTCTCTTTGCTCCACAGACACTGTCACACTCCCTCAGGATGGCAGACCAGAACTTTGAGAAGCTCAAGGATGAATCCGACCGCCTGGAACAGCACGCCAAGAAATCTGTCAACTGGCTGCTGTGGATAATGCTAATTGTAGTTTGTTTTATATTCATCAGCATGATTCTCTTCATCAGGATTTTCCCCAAACTGAAATGAAAATTTTATTTTACTTAAAGCTGGCTGTAGTGCAGTGGGAAAGCTCAGCTGGTGTGAGAACTGTCGCAGTCTTAGAGGCTGTGCAAGGCCTGCCTTGCATCTCCCAGTGGAGGAAGGCTTTCCTGAGGAAGGCTTTCCACACTTCCATTCTTGTTTACTTGGTGACTCTTGTTGCCTCTTGCAACAGCAGTCAACCTGTGAGGTAAGGATGAGAATTTACACTGAGCTGCTAACAAGTTCTTTAGTGGATAAATACATTTTTAATGTGTTTGTGACAAATGTTATGACTCCTAAAAGGCATTTAGTCAATACAAAGTTAAATAACTGTTGAAGTCTTACATTCTTTCCTGTGTTCACAGCTTTTCTGTGCTGACCTAGGAGCTTGCTGCCAACAGGATATTTAATTTCAGTTCTGTACATACACAGCTGCAGTGTAGAAAGAGAATTCTGCTGTTCAGGTGCTTGCTTGGCTCAGATTCAGAGTACCAACAGGTAAAACTCTTCTCAGGCTCACAGTTTGCCCAGATGGGTATTTGGGACTTGGGACTTCACCATCTTCTCCAGTTTAGATTGCTACAGGACTGGAGCTGCTTTCTGTGCAGTGTTTGCCTCCCTTTTGTGTGTGCAAATGTTCTCACTTCTCATTGTGGTGTTGGTGTTGTTCCATGAAGGAAACACCGTGACCCTGCCACCTTCCAACTGTACACACAGTGCTGCAGGTGGCACAGACCTCACCTGTGCAAACATGCTTGTGCTGCAAGATGAGGGCAAAGGAAGGTGGTGTCTTCAAGATGGAAATAATAATTTAAAAATACTCAGCCTTTTTTTTTCAGCATATTATCCCTGTTGTCTTAAGAGTTCACTAAAATAAAACAGAGAAAAAAGAAACTCATATTTTTAAAACACTGCTGCTGCTAGAAAAACTTGGAGAGTGTAGCAAAGCAGGGTTTGTGTGACAGCCTGAGAGTCTCTGTAGGTGCTGGTGGTAATCAGCTGTGTCCCACGGAGGAGATGAGGGCCAGCAGGTGACCCTGGCTGTGCTTTGGTCTGGGACCAAACCATGGGCTGTTCCAGCCTGGCTGCTGAGCCCAGCAGCCCCAGGAATGATGGGGGAAGAGCTGTTTGTCACAGCTGGGGTCTTAGGAACATCCAGCTTTGCTTTGAACACGTCCCACAGCACCAGGCTCTGTGTCAGAGCTGTGCTCTCCTCTGTACAGAAATGTGACATTTCTATTTCCCATCTCTGGTAATGAAGGCTGTTAACATTTTTTACACAAAATATTTCTGTTTATTTAACACAATGTTTGCAATGTAGTATACCACTCACTTATGGATTATCAAAGGAATAATTATATTATGAGGTACAGCTTTTAATTCCAGCTACTCAGATATCTGCAATGTACTCCTGTTTTATTTACCTTGAATTTAAATAAATTTATAGTTTAGCAATCAATTTATGGACATTTCTACTTTTCCCAGTTGTTTTCCTTCATCTGTATGTAATGTTTGACATTTCACTGTGCTTCATTAGTCAATGCTGTGTCACCAAATTATTTTTTCAATTCTGATTGTTCACTACTTTCCCTGCAGGCATTTCAATGCCAAGCTCTTCTCTTAGAGTCTGAATGTGATGCTGGAATGGTTTTTGTGTGTGAGATTTTGGGATGCAACATTAATGCTTCATTGTCCATAACACTGTCCTCTTTATTACTTGAAATAAATTATTTTTTCCTAGTTTACAAAAGATCTGGTGCATCACTGCAGACAAGTTTAAATCTGACTTTTGCTATCAGCAAAATGGGTTGCCTGTAACTTTTTGACACTTATAAATTAGGAAATTTTTGATTGGAAAGACATGAAAGGGAGCTGCTAGTGATAGCTTGTCTCCAAGAAAACATCCTCTACTCCAAGTCACAGATATTGATTCACAAAGAAGCCTGCACGGAGTGAGTTCAGAAACCACTTAACTTTGCCCACTGACATTTCATGGGTGTTTGTTGTGTTGAATGAACACCAGGAGTGAACCCTGGAACACTTTTTGTTATCTCCAGCAGCCGTTGAGCACCGAGCCTCTGCTTCCTGGGGCTTCTCTCCCAGGTGGAAAAAGGTTTCCTTCTCCTCCCAACCCAACGGATCCCCTGCCCTGCACACAAAGGCTGGGTTGTTGTCTTTGCTTTTCTCGAGTTCATTTAGCAATTGCAGTCATTCAACACCACTTTGAAGATGGGAGCCGGTGCTATTTAGAATAAACAATGACTCAGGGCTTTGTGACATTTCCCGGATGAATGACAGTTTTTATTTTTGACTGACCTGCGGGGGGTGGTGGATGCTCTGCTGCTCCAGCCCTCAGCTCCATTTCGTGGCACAGGGCTCTGTGCAGAATAATACATCTAGAATATGTATAGAAATGGCCTTCTGTGAGAGTTGCTTAACTTTCCCAAAAGCTTGGGAAATCCAGATGGGCAGATGTTTATCAGGCACAGGGCTGGGCCTTGCTTGGTTTCTTGGCAGGCTACCTGCTTTGAGAGAGCAAGGAAAATTAAACCAAAACCCTTTTGGAGGCTTGGGTCACGTCAGGCCAGTGGATGCAGAGGTTCAGAGTCTGCAGCAGTGGCTCTGGGTCAGTCTGAGCTTTTCTGGCAAACACCCTTGGTGGCAGAGGCTCTGTGTGTTACCGTGCTGAGTGTTCAGCAGTGTCCTCAGCACAGATGGGATGTGCTGGAAGGATCCTTCACAGGCTGCTGGTGCAGGAATGGCAGGAGCAGAATGCTGGATGCCATGGTTCCTGTGGCTGGGCAGTGCCAGGTTTTGGGCACGTGCTCCCTTGGGTTTTCTTTGCAACCTGAGGGGCTGTGAGCAGCTATCCTGCCAAAAGGGAATATCCCATGGAGAGTGAAAAGGAGGGAATGGGCAGAGCAGGTTCTGCTCCCGACTGTTCCCTGTGTGACACCCAGTGTCACCTCCCTTCTCACTGTCTGCTGTAAACCTGCCATGAAAGCTCAGAATTGAGTCTTGTGATTTATAGTTACGATTTAGTTTATTTTACAAAGGAATTCTTCCCTGTGAGGGTGGTGAGGCCCTGGCACAGGGAGCTGTGGCTGCCCCATTGCTGGAAGTGTTCCAGGCCAGGCTGGATGGGGCTTGGAGCAGCCTGGGATAGTGGAAGTTGTCCCTGCCCATGGCAGGGGTGGGATGGGATTGGCTTTAAGATCCTTCCAACCCAAACCATTCTGTGAATCCAATCACAAAAACTGTAATGGCAGTGCTAGAGCAGCTCAGAGCAGATACTGAAATGTCACAGTCTGCAGCAGAGTTCCCAATGTAATTCCCAAGTGCCAGGGCCTGGCATGGGGCTGGCTGGGAGCTCCTGTCCTGACCTGCCCCACTGCTGGGAATCTGCGAGCACTTGTGTCCCACTGAACGGGAGTGACATTAAACCCAACGGCACTAAATCAATACCACCTGTCACATGATGCCACCGTGACATTTCTGGCATCAGCTCTCCCTCTAATAGGAGCTGGAACTGGGAAGCAGCAGCAGTTAGTGAATAATGGATCAGATACGCCTGATTTGTAACATTTACAGAGGGAGGGCGTGTCTCCCAGCGACAGAACAAACCGGTTATCAAACGGGAACTGGGAGTTCTGGCTCGTCCAAAACACAACCCCTGAGCAGTGCAGAGCACACAGCGGGGCTTGGGAACCCTGGTGCTCCCTCCAAATTAGACTCTGGATCAACAAAAACAGGCATTAGTGCCAAGAAATAACCGAGGAAGGAGGGGCTGGAGGTGAGCTGTGGATCAGAACTGGTGTGGCTGGTGGCCGTGCTGTGGTCACTGCCCTGCACAGGGTGGCTGATGGAGAGCAGGGAGCCTGGCAGCAGGTTGTGCAAAGCACACCTGGGGCTGCCTGAGGTGAGCAGGGAGGCTGTAGGGAAGGATGGAGGTCACATCTGTCTGGCTGTCTCACATCTGGGCCCTGCTCGCCAGACCCAGGTTGGGAACGCTGACAGTACTTCGGTTTGTTCAAGTTAAAAACTTTGATGCTGAATTAGAAAGAAAATATTCTTACAAGGAATTAAAAATAAATTGAATATTGCATCTGCCTCTGTGACACCCAAAATTCAAACTGCACAAAACCAGAAACTGGACCAAAAAAAAGCTAAAACGAGGCAGTGCTGCAGTTGGCCATGAAGAGCTGGAATTTACATCCTTCATCTCCAGGGTCTTTGACCTGCATGTAGCAGAGAGATGCCCTCTGCCATTTTCACCCTGGCCAAAATTTGTATTTGCTCATGTAACAATAGAATTCTCCAGAAGGATCTGACAGTGTTTCCTGTTCCAACAGTAAAAAGCTGAGACTTCTGTCCTCAGCACATAAAGTGACCGGATCTCCATCCTCTGAGCCTTCTCACTGACAGAAGTCACTTATCGGATTTGGTGTGGACGGAAGGAAGGGTAAGAAAGGAACTCTGTCAATCCATGACGTGAAATATTTCATATTAAAAGATTTGGCCGAGGGTTTTGTGTGACTCTAAACAGGATGAGATAATTTTCCAAGGTCAGCTCTCCTGTGCTCTCAGTGTTGGGTTTAGTCACTGAGAAGTCAATCCCGTAAACCTTCACAGCAACATCCGCCAGTGATGCAGAGACTTGGCTGTTGTTGGCCTCTGCTGCATCTTGAAAGGGCAGGAGGCTGCAAAACGTGCAAATTGCCTGGTGAGAAATGTGTGAGCAGGAAAGAGGGCCTGGCAAATCAATAAAAACAGAGCAACCCCAGCCATGGGGTAACTCTTCAGCCAGGCAGTTGCAACTTGTTGTTAAGAGAAGGCCACAGTGAACTGGTGGAGCAGAAAGGGGGAATTGTGACCTCAGCTCAGCCCCAGGCTGCTGTGTGGCTTTGGCTCCTGAACTGGTTTTAAGCAGTTTAGTTCTTAAAACAGAATTGGTACCAATGAACCTTCTTGGTGAGTCAGCTGCTCCAAAGCTCCTTTTGGGCACAAAGTTTGTGTTCCTTGACTATTCCAAAGCTGGTTAATTAATGAGGAACTTTAATTTGTATGGCTAAAACCAACCCATGTGTTCCAGTATATAGAAAAAAAGATATGTTGGTTTTCAAGGTGTGAAGCTTTCAGCAGCTCCATGTGTTGGTGGTTGGGAGCTGAGCTGGGATGTCTCTCCACAGACACTTGTGACAGTACAAGGATGTCAACATTGAAGCTGCTTTACAAAGTCATTGTCCCCACCTGTTTGTGCAAACGTGGCTCCTGCTCAAGGGATGGGCTTCCAGCTCTGAGCAGCACTGATCTGCAGGAGGGATCTGGTGGGAACTTGGTACTCTTAGGATGGTTTGATGTGGAGGCATCTGTAGGACAGAGCAGTAGACTTTGGACAAGGCCTGGAGGGACAGGACACAGGGAATGGCTCCCACTGCCAGAGGGCAGGGCTGGATGGGATATAGGGCAGGAATTGTTCCCTGGCAGGGTGGGCAGGCCCTGGCACAGGGTGCCCAGAGCAGCTGGGGCTGCCCCTGGATCCCTGGCAGTGCCCAAGGCCAGGCTGGACAGGGCTTGGAGCACCTGGGACAGTGGGAGGTGTCCCTGCCATGGCAGGGGTAGAACGAGATGGTCCCCAAGGTCCCTTCCAACCCAAACCATTCCATGATTTAAGTAAGGAATGGATCAAACCAAAACAAATAAGTCTTTGTATGGTCAAACAGATGGATGCACTCTATTGCAAGTATCTCTGTACTTATTTTCTCAGGAGGATTCAGATTGAACCCCCATGTCTGTGATTGTCACAGTTCATAGTACTTACCCCTGCTTATTTCCAAGTTATTTTAACCAAACCATAAAACATCTGTAGTGAAGAGGAAGAAATGTGACTGTTGCCAACATTTAATATATCAAACTGGTGATTTTAGTAGCTTCTTGAATCAGGAATAAAAGAAGAGCCTGCATTGCAGCTATTAGAAAAAAAAAAAAAAAGAGTAAGCAGGTGTTGGCTTAGTTTCTAAGCGCCCACATTGCTCCTGTTGGTTTATCTGATTGCAAACCAAGTGCACTGTAGCATGATGAATATGTAGCAGTGAATGTATGGGAAAGATGCTGGAAAGGTTGCACCCTGATGTTCTTAATCAGTAATTAGAAACTAAAAATAGTATTTTAAGGAAAGATAATAAATCTGTAGCCTTTAATCCTCATGTGCCAATGTGTAAGCTGATATCATTATTACATGAAAGGCAATGAGAACAGAAGTGAGTAAGCAAGAGCAGGTTGCTGTTACAGTCCCAGTAAAAATTCCACACAGCCCGAGCTGTCCAGGTGATGTTTGGCTCTGTCTGTTTTATGCAAAGTCTACACTCATAAAGCAGGTTAATTTGCAAACAGAGAATGCATACTTTTGTTGTTTATTTCCATTCCTTAACTGCCCTTACTTCCTGAAGCAGTCAATGAGTGGGGTTCCAAGTCTCTCTGCACTTGCCAGCTCGAGGCAGCAGCATGGATTTGGGAAAAAAGGACAGAAATGGGGGAAATGCTGTCCCATGACTGTGGCTTTGATACATCAATGGGCTGAATCAACAGCTCCTGTGCTGTGCAGACACACATCTGCTGTGCTGATGACAGAGAAAGCATCCCCACTTAAGCAGAGCCTTTCATCTCAGCATTTAAATAGCCTGCAAGTGCCAAGATGTAGTTATTGCCGCACAGGTACCATCCCAGCTAATCCTGCTTCCTCTGGTCGAATCAGGCTGCCAGCCTTACCCTGTCCAACAGGGAAACCTCAAACAACGTCAGGGGCTGAATCACAGCAGCAGAGCCACGGTTCCACTGGCCAGCCCTCCCCTCATTCACACTCTGTCGTGTCCCTGGCACAACTGCAGGGATTCTTTACCTGGAAAAGCAATGCAAAGTATTTTAAATAGGGTAAACTCATAGTGCAATTCAGTGTCCAGACAAAGGCACTGAGGCCCAGTGACCTGCTGGTCACCACTGGCCTGCCCAGGGGCTCTTCATGCCAGGCAGAAGTGAGAGATCTGTTGTAAGCCAAAGAAGGTGGGATAAAAATGTTAAAAAATGTCTATTTGCCAAGCATTTTTGAATTAAAAAAGGCTTTTTTTCCCAGCAGTTTAAAACTCATTTGTCTCGCAGAAATGGCTGAAAGCAAGAGCCAGATAAAATTACTAGAAGTTGCCAGGAAACGTACTGTCATGGCTTAGTGCGAGTGCAGCGCAGGGATGATTAAAAAAGGCACCAAATGGTGAATCCCACTGGAAAAAGAACCAGAAAACCAGAAATCTACAATGGCTCTTTGGGTTCTGTGATACTAAAAGCAGTGGCAGTGGTAGACGGTATCCTCATCCCAAGCTCTGTCCAGCTCTGTGGCAATTCATCCTTTACAAGAGGAGGAGAAGGGACGTGGGCACAGCCAGGGCAGCAGCCTGGGCTGTCAGCACTGGGGACAGAATCTTAGAATGGTTTGGGTTGGAAGGGACCTTGGGGACCATCTCGTTCTACCCCTGCCATGGCAGGGACACCTTCCACTGCCCCAGGCTGCTCCCAGCCCTGTCCAGCCTGGCCTTGGGCACTGCCAGGGATCCAGGGGCAGCCCCAGCTGCTCTGGGCACCCCGTGCCAGGGCCTGCCCACCCTGCCAGTACAAATCTTTTCCCTAATCTCTAACCTAACCCTACTCTCCTTCCATTTGAACCCACAGCGAGGTGAGGCTGCTCAACTCCTTCGTTTCACTCGCTCAACGCTACCGAGGCTACAGCGGCTGCTCGGGCAGCGCCAGCAGGGCTCACAGCCGGCCTGCACGGGTGGGCGGACAGCAGGACGGACGGACAGATGGCTGGTTGGACGGACGGATGGCTGATGGGTGGCTGATGAAGGGTGCCTGGAAGCCGCTGCCGCTGCTCCTCCCCCGGCCCGTCCCGTCCCGTGCCCGCGCTCCGCGCCGCCTCTTGCGGCCGCCCCGCTCGGCTCGCAGCTGACGGGGGCAGCCCCTTGTTTACTGGCCGGGGCGCCGCCGCCAGCCCGGCCTGCGCTGGAAGGGGCCGCCGGGCCGGGGCCGACACCGCGGGCAGGGAGGGGCCCGGCGCTATAAAGGGGCTCCGCGGGGGCTCCACCGGCGATGCTCGGCCGGGCCCGGCCCCCGCGCCCGCCCCGCGGGCTCTGATTCGCGCCGGGCGGCGGCGGCCGCGGCAGCGGCGCGGGATGGGACCGAGAGCGGCGGCGGCGGCGGCGGCGCTGGCCGTGGCCGTGGTGCTGGGAGCCTGGTGCGGCCGCGGCCGCGGCGAGAGTGAGTCGGGGCCCGGCCGGGAGGGTTGGGGGGCGGCGGCGGCGGCGGCGGGGAGGGCCCGGCCCCGCCGTGCCCTTTGTACCTGCGCGGGGCCCGCGGGCAGCGCGGCCGCGGCCCGGAGCGCTCCCGGGTCACCTTCACCCCCGGCCCGGGGAGGGCCCGGCGGCGGCCGAGATTGGAGCGGGCACGGCCGCGGGGAGGGAGGGCAGCGGCTGCCCCGGCGCGTCCCGGCCCGCGGGGCCCCGCGCGGGCGGGCGCTGGGCCGGGGTCAGCGGGGGCCGCGCCCGGGGCAGGCGCGGGGAAGGGCACGGGCCCCTCTCGGTGCCGCTCCCCGGCTCCTTCCGTGGGCACTTGCCCCGTCCCTTCTCCAGTTCCTCCCCAGGTCCCCTACCCAGTCCCCTCCCCGGGCCCTGACAGCGTCTGTTCCTCGGTTCCCTCCCCGGTCCCTTTCTCGGACCCCTCTCCGACCCCTTCCCTGGGTCCCCTCCCTCGATTCACTCCCCGGTCCTTTCCCCGATTCTTTTCCGTGTCCCTTTCCCAGGTCCTGTCCCATGTCCCTTTCCCTGGTTCCTTTCCCATGTCCCTTTCCCTGGTTCTTTTCCCGTGTTACTTTCCAGGTTCCTTTCCCGTGTCCCTTCCTGGCTGCTCTCCCCTGTCCCTTCCCCTGTCCCTTCTCGGGTCCCTTCCCTGATCCCTTCCCCGGTGCCCTCCCCAGCCCTGTGCCCCCGCCGCTCCTCGGCTGCCTCAGAACCGGCTCCGGTTTCAGGAGGGTTTAGTGTGGCCAGACGCGGAGGTTTTGTCTTTAACCACTTTTAGGTAGTGTGCCAAATCCACAGGTATTAAGATGGGAGAGCTCCGGGGGGAGGCTCTGTGTGTACACAGGGGCTTGTAAAATACAAGACAGGGGAATAAAGATGTTGTGTTGGAGGTCACAAGCTTGTTAAACCCACGGCTGGCTCGAGGTTAAGCCTTACGAGCTGTTTTGATGGGCTACGTTAAATAAACTTGCTCAGGGAATCCTTTTAATGAGAGGTTCTTTAATTTTAGGTGATTCTTACAAATTTTTTTGACAAAAGGAAAATGTTTATTTAAAGACAGCTAACTGGATCCGTGGGTCATGTCTCCCATAGACAATCTACCTGTTGGCTTTCCCATCACAAAAGGCAAGAGCAAGAGAATCAGTTCAAATACAGACAACACAGTGATGGACATTATTGGGATATGTATGGGATTCAGGGAATAAAGCAGCATGTTCCTGTAAGACAACCTCTTTTCCCAGCAATAGGACAAGTCGCATATTTCAAAAATAACCCAGTTTCTTCCCTGACACATCTGAAACCTCACAAGAGGCCGGTGACACTGTTACCTTGGGAGGGTCAGCCCCAGCTGCTGTGGGCAAACCTGCCCTCCTCCAGCAGAGATGGAAAAGGCAGTTGACATATAGCACTAATAATAAATAAATACGTGTGCAACTGGAGTCCAGCAGTTCCTAATTTGAAAACACTATTATTATTACTGCCACAGCACAGCCTGTGATTTGGTTATTTATTTAAATCGTATTTGCTTTTTGGGGTTCAAGCGTGTTTATGTTCTAAACTCCCTGATCTTTGCTGTGTTACAGCGTGGTAGGAAAATGTACTCTTGAGTTCATGGATGGAGGAGCAGGGGCACAAGACAGCAAAGCAAAGCGTGGGCTGGAACATTTCCGTGTCATTTTTACCATGCAAATACTTGATGAGGTATCCTACAGACAGGGTTCTGATGATTGAACCTGATTTGAAAGGTTTTGTGGTGTTTGATTCCATTTTCTGGCTCAGTTTTCTGGGAATGGTGAGGTCACGGAGCAGCGCGCTGGGGACGGAAAGCAGAAACAAAAAACCAGGGGGGGAAATGCGCGTACGAGAGCTGCATGAGCAAACAAGTTGTTCCCTGAGCAACGGGGCTGATGGAGGCAGCTTTCTTGGAGATCTGTGCCCTGTGTTCCCACAGAAAGCCTCTCCAGGGACAAAATTCCCCCATCCATGGTTTTTCCTTGTGCCCCGTGAATTCCTCTCCCCTTTGGTGCCTTGAGGCAGAGTTGGGGGCCAGCAGCAGGTGGGTGGAGGTGGTTGAGTAGAAAAATGAAGTGGATGGTAAAGTTCACATTGACATCCAGATTATGAGTTTCTCCTCCTCCATCCATCCCCTTTTCCTAAATATTTTTGGAATACTTCAAGTGAGAGCACAATATTCATATTAACCACTCTTCCTCTCCTACATGTGGTTAAGGGTAGTTGCTGAGTTCAGGAATTACTGACAGTAGTAGAAAAAAGGGTTAAGGAAAGAAGGCCTGACTTGTGCATAAAATGAAGATCCATATATCTCATTTTGGGAAGAAAGACAGTTTTGTGTATTTTTTTTTTAATGACTGTGTAAACATAATGCAACTTCTTGAAATAAATCTCGCACATGACTCATGCCTGTCAGTTCATTAGCTCTGGTATTTGGGGTGGGATTTACCTCACCTAGTTTTAGGCATCTGCTAATGGAGCAGCTTCCTTTGGGCTCCTTTTCTGGTTAATAGAAAACTGATCAATGCAGTCATGGATGTTTGGAATGCTCTTCCTCCCCTCCTGAACTCTTCCCCTAAATTTGGGAGCTGCACATGTGCTCCAGTACCTGCTGCTGATCTGAGTTGGGAATGCAGTTGAGAGATCTCTGCCTAAATCATCCTGTGGGACAAATTTCCCTGTGGATTGCTGTAGTAACACACTTCTAAAATAGGTTGCTTCTTAGTTAGTATCATATCTGGCTGATACAGATATTTTTGTGCTTGTAAACTCATTAAGAAACTGTTCCCTTGTCCCACCTCAAGCCTGTGTTAGAGACTCAGTCTAGAATGAATTTTTTATGAGAATAAAAGTAGAAATAAAAGAGAGAAAAGTAGGAGAATAAAGTAGGAAAAGTGAGTGCAGAAGGGCAGGGCTGTACCAAACTCAGCGTGTTCTGTCCCCTTTTTTGGGGAGAGGCAGCACAGTGGCTGTCTCTGAACAGTGTAAATAAAACCCCAGAGCTTTGTGGAGGTCATTTTTGGGGTGAGTGCCTTGTGGAATATCAGTGGTGTTGATATGGGCAAGGTGTAGAACCTGTTCCTGCTGCCTTTGGAGCAGGGAGGATCCTCAGGAGTGTCAGCCCCAGCACAGACCCCGAGTTACCCCAAGGTTGCTGTCCCTTGTGATCTCTGCATGGAAATGGGGCAGGACAAGCTCTGTTTGCAGTTTGGGTTCTGAACCAAATGAGGGGAGCATAAACACAGCCCAAACCAGGCTTTAAAGGGCAAACTTCGAGGGATTTACCCTCGGTTTGGGCGGTGAGAAGCTTCACTCATTTCTTTTTAGATTCACCTTTAGCCAACCTTTGTTCCTTAACACATCTTTTGGGAATATTTTGAATTGTTAGCCTTTGGTCACCTTTTCTGTGAGGAATCTGTGTCAGGATGGAAGAGAAGGAGGTTTGGACCCTATGGGAGTGCTCAGATGGTTGAGTTTTGTGGAAATTGGAAGTTCTTTGAGCAGTTTTTGGGCTGTTTGGAGCATGAGCAGCATGGCTCATGTCAGTGGTGATGTCCAGAAGCTTGAAAGCAGAGTGATTTAATTTGGTTTTGAGGCATGCAGTGTATCAGGCACCTGAGATGTTCCCTGAGGCCTGGGGGTTTACAGGGGCTCATTTTGGACTCCATATCCAGTTTGCTCAGCAACCCCAAAATTGACCTCTGATGTGCAGAACTGAAGCTTAAAAATCCATATTTCACAATTAGATGTTTTTTATGTGTATTAAACAATTGCTGCAGGCTAGGAGCTGTCACACAGCCCTTCCCTCTAACCTGGTACCAGGATGTTTTCCTGTCTCAGCAGTTAGTCCCAAACACCCAAAAAAGAACAAGAAATCCCAAAAATCACCCAAAATCCCAAGAAAGTCCTTTTCCCAGTTCCCTAAAGCCACTTCTAAAAATCAGCTTTATGTAGAATTACAATGCTTTTGACCCAACCCAAGCAAGTGTAATTTTTATTTTTTTGCAATAGTTTGTTTATTCAGTAGGCAGCAAAGACTACAAAAAAAAAAAAAATCAGAATTAACCAATAGTTACCTCAAATGGTTTGTGATCCTTCTGTGCCCAGTTCCCCTGATCTTGATTGTTAAAGGCCAGAGCTCTGAAGCAGTGAATCATTAAGGTTTGCTATCCACATGATTTACTATAAACAAGGTTTAAGTTCCAGCTATTCCCCTGGTTAGCTTGAAAACTTAACCTCTGGCATCAGATCTGGTTTCTTCATTCAGGACTTGAAGGTTGTTACCAAACCAGTTTGTCCGAGAGGCTTTGGCATCTTGGGATTTGTTTGTTTGTTTGTTTTTTGAAGAGCGTGGCTTCAGCTTGGTTTTCTGGGGGGAGCTGGTGGAACATGTGTAGGATGATTTAGTAATTTATTTTTTTTATTTTGAGTGAGTAGCTTGGTTGCAAGGATGGAGCTGTGCTTCCTCTGGCAGCTCAGAGCTGTGCTGCTGTTTCTGCTGAAATTTAGGAATTTATGTCTAGTGGGGGTTTTGCACAGGAGCAGCTTTGGGCCCACTACTGGAGAATCAATTTGTGATTTTTTTTTTTTTTTTTATTTCCCTGAAAGCTGATTTATGTGTTTTTTTGAAACCAGGTTGTCTGTGTTATAATTGATGGCTCAACTTTGCTCTCCTTCTTCTGGGATCAAACCTGCCTTGCCTTCCTACTGAATGGTTGATTAATTCCCCTGTCTTTGCAGAAGAAATACTATCAAGAGAAGCTGTGGAAAAGCACTTATTACTTTGCTTAAAACTGCTTCTTGTTGTCTTGGTAACAATAAATTTATGGGGTGACTTAAGCTGCTACTGCATGAACAGGAGATATAAACTGCTGAAAATTGAAAGGCATGAAAAGATGGAGAAACCTCCAAGTAAAAAGCCCATTTTGTTTCAGATGTTCTTACTTCCTTATTATTCTCTTTGATCTTTGAGGTGTTAAAAAGAAGGAGCTTAGATACCATTTGTCACTTAAAAGCTAAATTGAAGTAGAACCTGAAAAATAATTAAGTGTGATTTTTCTCTAAATGTGGGGAAAAGCAGCTGATGAACCATGGCTGTTGTACTTCCAGCTCTGCTAGATCTGTATTTTTATTTCATCAAAAGCTTCACTCATTTCTTTTTAGATTCACCTTTAGCCAACCTTTGTTCCTTAACACATCTTTTCAAAATATTTGGAGTTGTTAGCCTTTGGTCACCTTTTCTGTGAGGAATCTGTGTCAGGATGGGAGAGCTGGGAGAGAGGGAGGTTTGGACCCTGTGGGGGTGCTCAGATGGTTCTTTGTGGAAATTGGAAGATCTTTGAGGAAGATCTTTGAGCAGCTTTTGGGCTGTTTGGAGCAGGAGCAGCATAGCTCATGTTAGTGCTGATGTCCAGAAGCTTGAAAGGTCCAGGAGCAGAGTGATTTAATTTGGAGTTTTTGAGGAGAGGGGTGAGAGCTGGGAACTCCAGGGCTGCAGTGACCAGCAGTGCCAGGACACAGGGAATGCTTTCCACTGAAAAAAATGAAATTTAGATGGGATATTGGGTAGGAATTGTTCCCTGGCAGTGCCCAAGGCCAGGCTGGGCAGGGCTTGGAGCACCTGGGACAATGGAAGGTGTCCCTGCTATGGCAGGGATGGCACTGGATGGGCTTGAAGGTCCTTCCCAACCCAACCCATTTTGGGATTCAGATCATCCTCTCAGAATCCTTGCTGCCTGTGGATCTGTTCCTCTGCCAGGCAGGACCTTGAATTTCCTCAGTGCTGGGCACCCACCATGGGTGGCTCCTCCACACCAAGTTCCTTAACTCTGTGCCTGCACAAAGGGAATTTCCACAGCCTGAAAAAGCAGCCACAGCACTTTTGTTCTTAAGTGGGGAGGGAAGACACTGGCCCAGCTGTAAACAAAGGAGAGAATCCTTTGAGTGGATGCAGTCTTCAAAAAGCAAAAATCCAGGAAGAATCCACCTGGATTTGAACATTATGGCTCTTTCCTCTTTGAGCACAGACTCTTTCCTCTTTGTGTCACTATATGTAAAGCTCACCAGCTATAAAACCACCACGTCACAGCTCCAAGGCATCACCCAGCCCTACAAAACTGATGTGGACACAAACATTTCACAGCAAGGATTGTCTGACTCCTCCTGGTTTAACACAGGGGTTAAAACCGAATTCTATGGTCTGGTTGATGTTTTTATGAAGTTGGTTTCAAAAGCCAGGCAGTGAGGAATGGGCTTTTCCTGGCCATCCCTCAGTGCAGATGCCCCCAGCCCTGCTCAGGGTGCCCTTTGCAAGGGCACTGAGGGTGCAGGGTTTGTGTTCAGCCCCTGTGAGTCACCTCATTCTGCCCAAAATGATGAAAGACACAGGCAATTGTGCTTGGGGCATTCATGCATCCCTTCAGCCACAGCCATAGCCTGCAGCTCTGACTCTCACAAGAAATTCCTGGTCTGTATTTTTTGACCTTTCCTTTCCCTGTCCATTCCAGCAGGCAGTGCATTATCCTGTGGTGGTGGGTACCACCCCAACACTGCTGTGCACCCCAAAATAATAATTATTAAAAAAAAAAAGAACCAAGATGTTGCATTTTGAATTTATCTGGTAATTTTAGCTGCACTGGTGGCTTCAGTTGAATTCAGTCTTTCGGTTTCTTACGTGTCCCTCTGTTACTTCTCCTTTCACTTGACCTGACCTGCCATGCACTTGCCTCTTTGGAAATACCAATGTTATTTATTGCAAATAAATATCCAGAGCATTTAAGCTGAATCTGTTGCTCTCCTAGGTCTTTAATCCCAGGTTGGGATGTGCAGCAGTACATTTTGGGGCAGAGGATTGTTGCTGGCTGGTCATCAGGTTCCTTTTCCCACTTTTTCCAAGTACATCCTTAATCCTTGAGGCACCGTGTGCGTTGGCTTTTTTCTTCCAGAAAGCAATTTATGAAATGACTTGGATATAGTGCCAAAAAATCCCATTGGGCAATAGCATTGCTGCAAATCCCATATTAGTATTGCCAATTTTTTTTCCTTGCAGTCAATGGAGCAAATTTTTGAATAATTATTAAGAGATTTGCATAGAATTTGGTTTTAACCCCTGTGTTAAACCAGGAGGAGTCAGACAGTCCTTACTGTGAAATGTTTGTGTCCACATCAGTTTTGTAAGGCTGGGTGATGCCTTGGAGCTGTGATGTGGTGGTTTTATAGCTGGTGAACTTTACATATAGTGACACAAAGAGGAAACAGCCTGTGTTTTTTGTTCTAAAGTGGGGAGAGAAGACACTGAACCAGCTGCAGACAAAAAAGAGACTTCTTTGAGTGGATGCAGTCTTCAAAAAGGAAAAAATCAGGAAGAATCCACCTGGATTTGAGCATTATGTTGATGTTTCTGTGAAGTTGGTTTCAAAGGGGTTGTCACAAAAGGGTTTTTGTTTTGTTTTGTTGTGCTGTAGAGGCGTGGGGCTGCAAATTTCCTTCTTGATTTCTTACCTGTACTTAGAGTTGAAAAAATATTTCCCTATTCAAACTTTTTCCTTTTGCTGGTTCCTGGATTCCTATTATTGAGTTTACCTTCTAATTTATGCTCCATGCATTTGTTCACTTTGCCAGTTCTTTGGTTCCTGCTTCTATGAAATAAACTGCCCAGATAGCCAAGAGAGGGAGATTTGCACCCTTGAGAAAATAATCACCAAAAAAAAACCCCCAACACCTCACCTGAAAAGAATGCTCAGGGCAAAAATTACTAATGTAGTAAATTACTCCTGTCAGCAGAGTCTGGGCAGGAGCGTGGGCTGTGCTCCTGTGCATTTCCAGGTTTTTCTGCTCCCTTCCCAAGCTCTACCATCTCTGGCCATTATTCTTTCCTATCTTCCCCTCCCTGCAACCATTCTAAATGCCTCCCTCTAATCCCCTGGCATGAATTGCACAATCTGAGATGAGGTAGGTGTGCTGCTGGCAGCTACCTGGAGGAAACAGCCCAGCCATCTCTTCCCTTTGTGATGTCCCAGCACTGCAGTCGTGATAGAGGCAACAGGCAGGCACTCAAGATGGCAGAAAAAAATGATGAAATATTCTTGTTTTGTAACCTTATACCAGGGAATGTTCCCCGCTGTGTATTTCTTAACACTTGAAGCTTGAGGGCCACAAGTCCCCAGCGGAGCTCGGTGTGGTTGGACAGAACTGAGAGTTTGGAAAACTCCAACAATTTAATAAATGAATTCTCCTTTGCCTCCCAGTTTGCAGGAGCATGGACATCCGAAACAACCTGACCAGGCTGAACATGCTGGAGAACTGCACCGTGATCGAGGGCCACTTGCAGATCCTGCTGATGTTCAAAACCAAACCCGAAGATTTCCGTGAGCTCAGCTTCCCCAAGCTGACCATGATCACAGATTACCTGCTGCTGTTCCGTGTCTATGGCCTGGAGAGCCTGAAGGGCCTCTTCCCCAACCTCACTGTGATCAGAGGGACTCACCTGTTCTTCAACTACGCCCTGGTGATCTTTGAGATGGTTCACCTGAAGGAAATTGGCCTCTACAACCTGATGAACATCACCCGGGGCGCCGTGCGCATCGAGAAGAACAACGAGCTCTGCTACCTGTCCACCATCGACTGGTCCAGGATTTTGGATTCTGTAGAGGACAATTACATCGTGGCCAACAAGGATGACAAGGAGGAGTGTGGAGATGTGTGCCCAGGCACTGTGAAAGGGAAGAGCAACTGTCCCCCCACGGTGATAAACGGGATTTTCATCGAGCGCTGCTGGACGCACGATCGCTGCCAGAGAGGTCAGTGCGCGCTGAGGGGTCTCACATGGGGCTTTGCTGTCAAATTTTGACCTGTCAGGACCTGTGAGGCCCTGATCCAGGCTGCCCCTGGATCCCTGGAAGTGCCCAAGGCCGGGTTGGACAGGGTTTGGAGCAGTCTGGGACGATGGAAGGTGTCCCACCATGGCAGGGTGGCACTGGATGAGCTTTGGTGTCTCTTCCAACGCAAACCACTTTGGGGTTCTTGGAGGCCTGACAGGTGCCTCCTGACCTGTAAGCACAGATTGGGCTGAAAATTGACCTTAAATTTTCAGCAGGGCTCAAAATTGACCTTAAAAGAGGAAGAGAAAACCTTTGGGATGGGTTTGAGCAATTCTTCCCCCTGTGTTTATAAGGCATCCAGAATTCTGTGTTTGGTTCTCCTGCAGAGTCAGGAGCTGCCCAGAGCTCACCATTTTATGGATTGTGAGTGTCTTGGATAACACTTGGTACTCTGAGTGTCTTTATTGAAGTTTGGGGTGGGAGTGAAAGTCCAGACTGGCTGAGAGGCTGCAGCAGGTGGAAGCACAACAGTGGGGAAAAGTCTCATTGAAATAGACCTCATTCTGGAAAGTTGCAATTCCATCTTTACCAAAACCTTCCTGCCATAAAAAGGTGTAAGATCTGGGGATGAGTGAGCAGCATTTGGTCAGAGAAGAAGCTGGAGTCAGACCTAAAGGAGAAGAGAGGACCTGGGTGGGGTAGAGGGTGAAATAACAGAGCTTTGAGCCCAGGGCAGAAGCTGTGTTCAGAAAGCTCACTGCTGTTGCCACCCCAAATGTATTGGAGTTGCTTTCAATTTCATACAGATTTGTTTTTTTCCAAACTTGGAACTGACCTTAAGCTTAGCTTTAATTATATATTGGCTTTGATTTATGTTCAATCTGACTTGACAGGGAGCAAAGTGAATTGAGGTGAGAGTGACACATTTAGGGTTGTCTGCCTTTCTGGAGGTCGTGCATCCAAACGAACCAGTGTGTCCTGAGACAAAATTAGGAAACTTGTGGGCTGCACAGAAATTCTTGCCAAGCTTTAAAGGGCAGCTCTGAGTGCTAAGTGCCAAATTTGAGGAGGAATTCCTCCCAGTATGCACAAACTAATGCAATTAATGTGGTTTCCCCTCTGCTACTCCTCACCCCAAAATCGTCCAGCTTCCCTTTAAAGAAAGTGGTTATTTTTTGTGGCCAGAATAACAGGGTATGAGCAAGAAGATGCAAGTGTGTACGTGTGTTCCTTATTTTAAAATGAAAAATAAGATTGTAAAGCATTTTATTTATAAACTTTCAGGTATGCAGTTACATCAGCACTGAAACCTGGTTTCTTATGCATTTCATGTGCTGTGTTTGCTGCTGTTTCATAAGGGTAAAGGTCTAATTGGCACTTTTAGTGCCTAGAACATAATGCCCCAAAATTCCTGTGAATTTTCTGGGGCTGTTTTGGAGCAGACTGGAATGGATGGTTTTCTCTTCTTTAAAAAACTACCTGCTTCCATGAAACCTGGAGAAATGTAAGATTTTAATGATAATATTTTACCATTGGGACAGAAATGTGAACTCCTGAGCCTCTGATGCAAGAGTTTGTTGGAGGGCACCTGTCCAGTACCTGCCTCAGCGCAGTCTGACCCAGAAATTGAGATTTTAATCAAAAAATGATTTCAAAAAGCAATATATACAGATGCTCTGGTTTTGTGTGTCCCCTGCAGAAGGAACAGTAGGAAAGCCGTGCTCCTGAATATTCCCAAAATTCCTGTGAATATTCTGGGGCTGTCTTGCAGCAGACTGGAATGGATGGTTTCCTATCCTTTAAAAAACTACCTATTTCCATGAAACCTGGAGAAATGTAATATTTTAATGATAATATTTTATCACTGGGGGAGAAATCTGAAGGAACAGCAGGGAAGCCGTGCTCCTGAATATTCCCAAAATCCCTGTGAATTTTCTGGGGCTGTTTTGGAATGGATGGTTTTCTCTCCTTTTAAAAACTGCCTATGTCCATGAAACCTGGAGAAATGGAATATCTTAATGATAATATTTTACCAGTGGGACAGAAATCTGAGCTCCTGAGCCTCTGATGCAAGAGTTTGTTGGAGGGCACCTGCCTCAGCTCAGTCTGACGCAGAAATTGAGATTTTAATCAAAAAATGGTTTCAAAAAGCACTATACACAGATGCTCTGGTTTTGTGTGTCCCCTGCAGAAGGAACAGCAGGGAAACCATGCTCCTGAATATTTGGGCAGTGACTGGAATGCACTTCCCAAACCACTTAACAAGCCAGGCTTATCTTTGTTTGAGCGCCGTGATTTGGACTTTAGTTTTTTGGTGGCCGCTGCTTTGCACTGGCTGGGATCTGTGTGACCCCGTGCCTTGTGACACCTGCCCCTGTGCTTCTGCTGCTGTTTTGACAGCCTGAGAGGGTTTTTAAACCTTTTTTTGTCTGTTTGTGAGTAGCCTTTGGACTCTGAGCACACGCCAGTGGTGGAGATTAAGTGACATTTATTCAGCCAACCTGCAATCGCTGCCTCTCTGTTCTCCTGCCAGCCCTAATGTATCCTTAGCATGTGTAATTGTTTTGTCAAGATTATTAAAAGCTTGTGTGAATTGTATTTTGGCTTTCCTTAGCCTGAAGAGCCTCACAGCAGCTCCCAGTTGTTGCAATGTATTTGCAAGGGTGCACAGTGTGCACCAGCCAGGCTGCTCCTGAGTTTGTTGTCAAAGCCTCAGGAATTGGTCAAAGCTATTAGAACATAAATTGTGCTAAATTAAGAAAGAAGAGGCTGAGAAACTGAATACCAAGACCACAAAAACTAGTTAGCAGAAAACTGTAAAACATCTAAACTATAACCAATCATATACTCAAAAAAATTCAAACAAAAACCAAGTGAACAAAACAAAAACACCAATTGAAAAATGTGTATTTAGTAGTTTAAAAAAAAATCTATAAAAATGTTATAGAAACAATAAACAATAAGCTTCTACTGGACCATATTAATTGTTTAAAAGTCCTAAATTTCCTACAATACCCAGTACCCAGGGTATTAATGTCATGAAATCTTTCCCTCTGTGTTTCTGCAGCTTATCTGGGAATCTTCTGCTGTGCTCAGGTCTCCTGGCTCTCTGGATTTAAGTGTATTCTCTCTAATTTTTTCTCTTTATTTTCTAACCAGAATGAAATGCAGCAATTTCAGTATCATTTTCAGAGGGAACTTTGGTTTTGTGTGGAGTTTTTAACCCAGGTTATTTGTACCCCTGGTTCGTTTAATGAAACTTGGTGTAGAATCTCCTGGTTCTGCTTTGGTTTTTTATTTTTTTAATCATTTTTTTGCATCTCTGGATGGGAAGTTGCTGCACTGGGACTGGGAAAAACCCTTCAAGGATATGTAAATATTGATTGTTTTGATTTTACAGAGTGGGTGTCAATTGACAGAGACAAGTCCCAAGCTGACTGGCTTTTCCAGCTTGCTGAGCTTGGAGTCTCGCTGGAAAATATTAGGAAATGGGCAAGAAATTTGGGAGAGCACCTGTGGGAAGGCTGGAAAATGAATTCCCTGACAGGAGGGGACAGCCAGGTGGGGATTGGTGTCTTTTTCAAGGAGTAAGGGACAGGATGAGAGGAATGGCCTCAAGTTGCTCCAGGAGAGGTTTAAATGGGAAATTGGGGGAAAATTCTTCATGGAAAAGGTTGTGAAGCACTGGAGGTGTTGGAGTCCCATCCCTGGAGGTGTTCAAAGGCAGGGAGGATGTGGCACCTGGGGACAGGGGTAGGGATGAACATTTGGGATGTGGCATTTAGGGACAGGGGTTAGGGGTGAGCATTTGGGGACAGGGTTAGGGGTGAGCATTTGGGACTGGGGACAGGGTTAGGGATGAGAATTTGGGGACAGGGTAAGGGATAAGCATTTGGGATGTGGCACCTGGGGACAGGGTTCGGGATGAGCACTTGGGATGTGGCACTTGGGGACAGGGGTTAGGGGTGAGCACTTAGGATGTGGCACTTGGGGACAGGGGTTAGGGGTGAGCACTTGGGATTGGGGACTGGTTTAGGGATGAGCATTTGGGGACAGGGTTAGGGGTGAGCATTTGGGTTGTGGCACTTGGGGACAGGGGGAGGGATGAGCATTTGGGACTGGGGACAGGGTTAGGGATGAACACTTGGATGTGGCATTTGGGAACGGGGGTTAGGGATGAGCATTTGGATGTGGCACTTGGGGGACAGGGTTAGGGATGAGCACCCGGGGACAGGGTTAGGGATGAGCACTCTGCTGCTGCTGAGGGTTGGATTTGATCTCAAAGGGCTTTTCCAGCCCTGAGGACTCTGGGGTTCTCTGAAGGGTCTGGTGTGTGTGGGAAGTGGCAAATTTGGGGCAGGATTGGGGTCCTGGTGTCCCCCATCTCTTCCACACCATTCCCTGCCCTTCCCCTGCCAGCTCTCTGTGGTTTGCTCCACGTTATCCCTCCTTTATTTAATTATTCCTTTATTTAATCAGTGCAAATATCCCAGTTGACTCCAAAACTAACTTTTCAGTTCTAGCATGGAATTATCTCCAAGGCACACATCCAAGCCTCTGAATCATCCCTGTAGCTACAATTCCAGCCTGGAATTTTTATTTTTTTTTTTATTTTCAGTTGGTGATAACAGTGTTCAGGACAACAAAGTAAAGGATCATCTTACAGACATTGGAGCAAAGGTTGGGGAGGAACTGAAATCATTTGTGGGCAGCTGCACCCTTGGAAAAACCAGTGGCAGTATTGAGAATTCTGTGTCTGAGAGCAGGGATGTGTAGGTGGAAGCTCCATGGATTGAGATCCCTCAGGATGTGCTTCTTCAGAGTTTTCTTTTTTTTTTTTTCCCTCCTCCTAAATCACTCATGTTGGTGTGAAAACCAAGTCAGTTCAGTTAAGGCCAGCTCATGTTATATTTTGGGTAGGCAGGCAGGGAAATGTGTAGTCTGTTTGGAATTTGGGTCTAGCCTGATGCTGTTTATGG